AAAAAAAAAAAAGGAAACTTCAGAGAGATACAAAGAAGTAAAAAAGACATCATCTGAACAACTAACCTCACTTAGACGCAATCTGTTCTGAAGAAAAGCAAGTTGGTAATACTTGGTGTTAGCCAAGCGTTATCAAGTTTTCCCGAAACAAAACAAAACAAAACATATTTATATAAAGGGTCCCATCTGGGCTCTAAGCTTGAACCTAGTGTATAAAGTAAGTTATGTATTTTTAATGACCTGATTTATGGAACAGCTGCTAATACTACTACTCGAATAATATCCAAAGAACATCAACTGTACTCATCATAAGCCAAGCCTCATTTCAAGAGAAACTTGCAATGATTCTTCAAGAAGACTTGCTCTAAACTGTTCCAAGATACCACGCGTAAATAAGAGATTCTGAGAAGCGCAGCTGGAAAGATGGCATTGAGCGATGCTGAGACAGAGTGAGCTCGTGAGAGGTCCACAGAAGCACTTCATCCTGAATCTAAAGAGCATCAGATGGAAACAACACCTAAGTCCTTGACATGCAGTAGAACAGGAGGGAAGTGAGGCACACTCAGACACGTACAGCAGAGCAGGGAACTAGTAAGTAGCTACGGTTTTTCGTTTTTTAGAAATAACTGCTTCGAACGAGGATGTCACAACAACTTAACAGCCTCCTTATCCAAAGCATCCATCATCAATATAGTATTTATATAAGGTGGTGGGGTGTACACACGACCCCATGACTCTTAACTAAATATAAATATAAATAATTTTAAAACTGATATTTTTTTTTAAAGATTCAAGTATGGAAAACAGAAAATTAGGCCATAACCTCATGACAAGGGGTTAACTGAAAGCCCTAACTTTACAGTTCTATCCTGACACTATCAAAATGCTTTTGAACATTTACCTGGCTTGTGTTCTAGTCCTACTTACTGGGGTGGGGTGGGATGGGGTGTGGGGATCACTACTGAAGAGAAATTTATTTTTCAGAGATATCCTCAGATCAGGGAGACCTAATTCTCATTCTTGCGTTTGGGGCAATGTTTTTTAGTTTTGTCATAGAGTTGGAAATACACAGCTATATGGCAAAACTGTTTCTTCTGACTGAAGTATGCTGAGTGAGATTTGACATTGCTAAGTGTGGGGCTGTGACTTGCTGGCTCAGTTTCCATCTGTGATTCCACAGGTCCACATGCGCCACCTTACACAGAGGTGCACGGCCTGTAACGTGAAGCCACACACCAATGAACTGCGCGCGCGGAGCAGAAAGGCAGAGCTGGATAACAGAGGCACAGTTCACTGGTGCTGTAGCTTGCTAACCACTAACCCAAGGCACTCTGCATCCCAAACTGTCTAAGGGTTAAGGGGGGTTGAAGCTGGCCAACAAAAACTAGGTTCCAATTACCCTTCCCACTTTCAACCCAGTTTTTAAAATGTACTTTGAATACAGGATGGCCTATCAAAAGTAGTCTTCCAAAAAAAACTATTTTTGAATGGACCATCATTAAAGTTGGGTTCATTTGAAATGTTCTTCAGTCTCGTCTTATTTTCTTAGAAAGTTTAGTTTCCAGATATCTCTGAAATATAAAAGTAGTACTACAAGATCAGGAGAATGGTGAAGGACATGCATGGCTTTGAATGTGTGACAAGACCACAAGGGTTTAAGAGGGTAACGTTTTCCTTTGGATTTTACCAAAGTTCATTCGAAACAATTTTTAGACTGTAGAATATTTAAGATTGCTCTTTAAATTTGATACTTTTGTACAAGTTCAACAGGGATATTTTAGAAGAATCAAAAGACATGAAAAACAAGGGTAGTTTTCTGCCCCAGATTTTGATGAATTTTGATACATTTTTTGACAAACATATTTCTTCTTTAATGATGTTCTTCAAACAAAACAGCTAGCAAAATATCTGAATTGCCATGTAGAATGTCACATTTTAATGTAAACATCAAATAAGGTACCAAAATTTTTACTGGAAGGGGGGAAAAAAAAACCCAAACCTTAAAGCGGCACAATTCTTTATACCACTGGAGAAGGGAAAGCCAGGTTACAAACATTTACACATGCATAGTGAGAAAAAAGGATTTTACTAAATTCACGCATTTTTAAAATAGTTATCAAGTCTACTAAGCACCAACAATCCTAAAAATTTTTCAGCTTCATGATTTGTTTAAAAAAAAAAAAAAACACTATCAAATTAACATTAAAACCAAGCTTGAAGTGTAGCTTGTCCAAAAAATAACTAAGTATACCAATGCCTTTTCACATTTAAAAAGACAGTGGCATACAAAATACACCTGCAAAGAATGCCTTTAACTCTATCCTACGGTGGATGGAGATTACAATAGCACATCATACATAGTCTAAAACTATAAAAGTTTTAGAATGCAGCATCATATCACCAAAATAAAAGCTGGTAAAACTTAAAGTATTTAGAAGATGCTGCCCCTTTATTTTAAAAAATTTTAAATGAATTTAAGCAAAAATAACATACATTTGTACATCAACTGGCCATTTCTGGTACAGAAACCCAGCATATGGTAATATTATTGAATAAATGTAAATGCTACTTACAATTTTTGTTCTTTTTAAATACATTTTAGACAAATGTTTTTCTTTTTTTTTTATAGTTGCACAATTAACCTCTTAGCTGCTAGCTTGATGCAAACATATGTAACAATACACAAATTTAAAAATATTTTTTTATTCTACATAAAAGCTGTCAAAATTCTGACTCACATCAAAAATGCAAAATAATGGAATATACGTTTAAAAAATTAGTTGCAAGTCTAGCAGCAAAGCAATTAAGTGAGAACATATTTAATATTAAAACAAAGGGAACTGTGCATCTATAGATGAAGTCCAACTACCTTAATTCTATTGATACAAACAGAAATTAAAACATTCTCCCTTGAGGAAAAAAAAGTGATTATTTAAAATAGGAGTAAAAGCCATTGCTGCCTGACGAGCTCCCCAGGCTGAGTTCCTGGAACAGAGACAGAGGGTCGCTACTCTTCTTGGCCTGCTCAGGAGGGGGCCTGGGCTTGGGAGGGGCCCTTAGAGCGCTAGCATAGGACATGGCGGGCTTGCCCCCACCAGCGCTCTGGGGGCTGCTGCTGTTGGCCGACTCCGCAATCTGCTTGTTGGGCATGAGGGGTGGGAACTGGCCGAGATGCTGCAGCACGCTGTAGTTGAAGGAACTGGACACCTCGAGGTTTTCTGACTTCAGCTGATCCTCAGGGGGTTTGACAGTCTTGGGTGGAGCTGAAAACACAGAAAAGTGACACTGATTTTAGGCGGAGCCCAGCGCTACTGATGCATCTCATTCACTCAGAACTGACTCTCATCTCCAGCAGCTCAGGGACAGCACAGCCACATGGACAGACAACTTCTGCCGCAGGACACTGAGAGCACAACACATCCAACCAGACTTCTTGTCTTAGAAACACATGGAACAACTGTGTTAACTGTCACAGCCAACATATAAAAACTGGAACAGCTTGGTGCTGGTAGCACAGTGCTTATGGCACCAGCTACATACACTGAGGCTGGCGGATTTGAACCTGGCCCAGGCCAGTTAAACATCAATGACAACTGCAACAAAAAACAGCCAGGCGTTGTGGTGGGCGCCTGCAGTCCCAGCTACTTGGGAGGCTGAGGCAAGAGAATTGCTTAAGCCCAAGAGTTGAAGGTTTCTGAGAGCTATGATGCCACAGCACTCTACCAAGGGTGACACAGTGAGACTATGTCTCAACAACAACAACAACAACAACAAAAAAAAACTAAGGTCAAATGTGAAGCCTTGCTGAGAAATAAATAACTAGTTTGTGTAACTGTACACACCTATATTTATTACGGTAACAGTTCATAGTTTGTAAACAGGCACTTTTTTTTCTTAAATAAAAATGAGCTGTATATCCAGACTCGAGGTCAACGAGCTCTTATTACTAACCTAAGTCCTAGTCCCATCGCCTTCAGTCTGTTAGTAACCTATGTGGAGTAACATGGAATGGGGCGGCGGCAGGTGTAAACCACTTCCCCTTTCCTACAATCTACCTGTATAGATCCTTTAAATAAAATCTGACTCCATCTTTCCTAACTAATTTTACTGCTCACTAAACCATAGCTTGTCTCCAAATACTGCTTTGATTCTCAATCTTTTAAAAAATTTAACATTGTATTAGATTACAGACATAATACATATTAATTTGGAAATGACAGAAAAGTACAAAAAAAAATAAGTAATTACATTTCCAAATATCAGAGGTAAGCCTTAAATGGTTAGTATATTTTTTCTAAGGATTTCACTTAATACAGAGTATTATTAAACTAAGTAATCTCTCAGTTTTAGAAGTTTTCATTATAGCGCTCCAATTTTTCATCGTTACAGACTGTGATAAATCTTATAGTTTTTTCTTTTAAGAGACAAAGTCTTAGCTCTGTCACGCAAGCTGAGAGGACAGTGACCCGATCACTGACTCTGAACTCCTCACTCAAGTAATCCTCCTGCCTCAGCCTTCCAAGTAGCTAAGAATACAGGCACGCAATCTATTTTGGGGGGGAGGGTAGAAATGGGGTCTCCATATGTTGCCCAGGTTGATCTCCAACTCCTGGACTCAAGCAATCCTTCTGCCTTGACTTCATAAGCACTGAGATTAGAGAGAAGCATGAGTCACCAGGCCCAGCCAAATATTTCTAAATCTGCAAGACTATTTCCTTAAGATAAATTCCTAGGAGTATAATGACTGGGCCATATGGTATATATGCCATTAAAGCTTTTGATAACTATATCCAAACTGACCTACAGGAAGACACTGCCCATTTATACTCAGCCAACAATGTTTGCCCCTTTCCCTAGGTAATCATAACACTGGTGGTGTTATTTTTTTTAAATCTTAGCTTACTTACAGGTAGATAATTAGCATTTTGTAGTTATAATTTGCATTTCTTTTGACTTTGTGAAGCAGAGCTATTCAGACAGCTTGAATCAACCTGACAATCAAGTGAGAGGAAAGTTAATTTCTATCTTATTTACACCACTATATTTTAGGGTCTATGCCAATGGCGTACCCTTTACACTAACTGATGGACATAGAAGCACTACAAAGGTGAAAATACCAAAACAAAAATGGGAAGCGTATTTGAGAAGCCTACTCTGCACAAGGCAGGAGGTTAACGTGCGACAACAGAGGGAGCTGAGTTGAACCACCTTGTCCCAAGCTTTCTCCCAACCACTCCAGCTCCTTAAGGGTACAGTGTCCACATGCTGCACATTCAGCATTTGATTTTATGTTATTTAATATTGACTATTATTGATGAGCTAATAATTAGTGTGTTGCATAGACTGTGAATGACTGTTTCTTCCCTCCTTGTGTCTATGTCTTAAAGAAAGTGCTCCACTCACGTTCACTCATTCTGGATCTAAACTGAACCAAGAATGCAAAGATTCCCTCTCCCAGAAATGTGTGTGTGTGTGTGTGTGTGTGAGAGAGAGAGAGAAGCTAAGACCTTAGCTGGACTACATGGAGTCAAGGTACTGTGGCAACCCAAAGCTACTTAAAAATACCTGGGCAGAGCCATCAGAAGACTCATCTATAAAGAAAAGCAGAAGAAAAGAGCCATTACCCAGAAGAAGCCAGAGGGTCCAGGGGAAGATGTTATGATCACCTCATAGCTGGGTGCCTGATCAGGGGTCAGGCACTCTGTGTGGTGTACCTTACACAGATTATATACCGATACCAGAAAACACCCAGTTCCCCTCCTGAATCCAACTGTCCTTCCTGGACCTATTTCCAGTGAAACTCTTTTTACTTGAGCTAGTTTGGGTTGGTTTCTGATTCTTACAATCAGCTGTAGCCTAAGATAATCACCAAATGCAGGGAACTCAGACATAGTATTTCCCTCCCTTGATCTCAGATATTTAGCGAAGCTGCTCTATCCCTGAGTTCAAAGTAAAAACAACAGAAACCATGAGAAATCCTGCTAATATTTCTTTTTGAAACCCAAATTACAATGACTCATTGACTCTAAAACTCACCACTGATGCTTAATGGAAGCTATTTCACAGCCAGTGACAAAGTTTTAAAAGCATTTTAACATCAGTAACAAAGATAACATAAAACTAGAATTCAGAGGTTAAGATGAAAATGCTTCATTTTTCAGTCTTATTAGTTCATTTATTCAATGTGCTAATTTTATAGCACTATTTTAGAACTTTAAAAATTCATAAAATGGTTCAAAATTATTTTAAAGCATTTAACTCTTTCTAGAACACTTATCACTTTTCCCTCTAAACGTCACTAATTTTGTGCATAAAACAATTGCTTTTAAGAACATCAGTTTAACAAATATTTCAATATAAAAGTGTCTAAAATAACACATAAAACAAACATGGTTTTGGTTTTTCAAGGACTTATTACTTTTATTTAATTTATTAAGCTTTATTTAATCATGTTCTCATTTTTATAAGAGTTTAAAATGTTTTCACAGTGGCACCCATAGCTCAGTGGGTAAGGCACCAGCTATATACACTGAGGCAGGCAGGCCTGCTAAACAACAACAACTGCAACAACAAAAAAAATAGCTGGGTGTTGTGGCAGGCACCTGTAGTCCCAGCTACTTGGGAAACTGAGGCAAGAGAATTACTTAAGTCCGAGTTTGAGGTTGCTGTGAGCTGGGATGCCACAGCACTCTACCAAGGGTGACATACTGAGACTCTGTGTCAACAACAAAAAAAGTTTTCAATTAACTAATACTTAGAAAATAATAGTTTTTAGAGGCAGTTTAACCTAATGCCTGCATTCTGATCTAACAATGATATGAATCTAAGATCTTTATTAATTTATCATCAAGATTCAACAAGAGAAACCATTCTCTAAAGTTATGAATTTTTCTAATCTTACTACTAATGATATTTTACATAATACACAGCTCTATCTAATCTTAGCGCAAACAATCACCCCGATTCCAAGCATCTAGTTTCATTATCTTCTTACTCAGCAAGAATTTACCAAGAGCCTAAAGTGATGAAATGGAATTCAGAGTTCAGAAAGGTCCAAGACATGGTCACTGCTTTCGAACTACAATTTAATTGTAAGGAAAACACATCTGTATCGAACACAATGATCTCTTTTAAATTTCAAGACAAAAGAAATTAATATAAGAAGTTTTCTACAAGCTGAAGATATAAACCTCAAACTTCAACCAGTCTCTTATGTGATGACTACGCTCTAGCTGATGCACCACTGCTACATTTCTCAAAAAAAAAAAAAAATCCTAAGAAGTTGTGCTTCAGGACAGTGATTTTGAATTAACTATTTAGTACTTAACTGTTACTTTCAATTTAAAAAATACTATAATCTGTCCAAGCATTTTGAATTAACTATTTAATACTTAACTATTACTTTCAATTTAAAAAATACTACAATCTGTCCAAGCATTTTGAATTA